AAATACTCTCCAAGCACTTCTCCACTTTCATGAACTAAGTACTAACAACAGAATACATACAAGGACAACATGAAACTTAGAAACAATTTATTAATATATCTGGCTTCATAACAATTACAACTTCCCTCATGATGAGGTCCTGTTAGTAATATTCAGCCAATTTCACTAACTATAATTTGATGGACAATTTAAAAAATAAGATAGTTTGTAGAAATAAATTAAGTAATTAAGTGGCACAAATGATGTAAATCTAAACAAATATCCGACTTTTAACAAAATTGTATCCGCATATGTGACATTTAACCGAACACAGATTTTAAGGGCTTAATACCTTTGTTACAGCAAAAGTAACTAAACATGACTGAACTCTTGCATGGTGACATGCAACATTAAAAGAAAAATTCCAACATAACAATCACCAATGTGTTCTTGCAACAGAAAAAATTGACACAAAACTTTGAAATATTATTGCTATTGATATTCAAATATAGAATCAGATCTCCAACAATTTATTTCTTGGCCACTAGTTTCCGGAAAAAGTTGTGAAAAGAATGATTTAACTACCGGAGATAACACAATAAAAGAAATTGATTTCCTGAACGGGTTTCATCACTCCCTGCACTATATTCTCAGACATTCTTTAAGAGAAAAAATAAATATCACATATCATTGTAATCTTGCATCTCCATTCAGTTCTAACACATGTGACAACTGTTGTGCACATAATTTTGTAACAGTCTTTGAGACCACATAAGGTGCACAGTCAGACTGTTGTCATGGATGTTACCAAAAATTATTTCATCAATTGAAAGAAATGGAAATCAATATTTGAATTTATGATCAGGTCAATTTTTTAGCATTATTCTTTGAATAAACTTTAGCAATGAAATCAGAAAAAAAATTTAAGTTAAAATTTTGGTACTTTTTCAAAAGATCTCCATAAGTTGTGATTTACCATCATTAATGTTACTTCACAAAATAATAAATTTGTCAAAATAAAGGTCTTCTCAAAACCCTTATTTCAAACTGAACATTTCAGGGATGAGCATAATATTGAGGATTTAAAAAAGTGGTTACCATTTCTTGTGTTGGCGACAAACATTTCAAACGGAATTTGTTTCATCAAGCAAACACTCATCCCTGATATGCATTCATATTTGTGACCACAGTCACTTCTCAGACCACTTCTCTGAATTTTAATCAAATTTGAAGATATTTCTTTTAAATACCAAGGGGCAGAAACTTCTCAAAATGTAGCATTTATTTAAAACGGTCTCAAAAAAGTGATCACATCACCCCCTGGCATGGTTGTTGTTATCAAGTGGAACAGTATAACACTATAAGGTGATACCTCAATATAATTTCATGCCAACATTTCACAAGTTTTTATCGTTGATACATATTTCACTTGACAACTGATACAGAGCCAACTACTCATGTATCCAGTGACACTAAAGTGTCAAAAAGCATCCCGTCTTTAGAAGACATGGCTTGGTGAGATTCTGGTTTGTGAATCTCATTTCATCATTAACATAAAACAACCAAACAATTAGAATCTTTCCCCTTTTGTGTGCCACATAAACTTTCAAACTTTGAATTGGCACTTTCATAGAAAAATGCAATCCATCCAATTCAGGGCTTATTATTAACACAAAAAGTAGCATAGGACTAACAAGGATCTTCATTAATGACTGCCCTCATGCCCTTGATTGCACTGCTGCTACCAATATATGTATACAAGATATTAAATTAAATTTCTTGGGGAAGGTAGTATTTGTTTCAGAACTTAAACAAGCCAAACATATATCATAAATATATCAATGACTTTTCCTTATATATATATAATTTAGAAGCATAAAAAAATATGAAGTTTTAACATTATTTCTTGTTAATTAAATGGTAGACATTAAAAATTACAAAATCATTTTTAAACAATGTTAAACCGAACTCATTTTTCCATCCATTACTTGATTACACTAGTTATCAGAGTGGCATACCAATCATAGAAGTAGTCTTACAACATTATTGACTAGTTGCAGCATACTTTTACTTTTTGAAAGTTTAATATATTCTCTCAATAAGTAGAACAGACATAGCCTGAGGTGTATACATCAGACAAATTTCATTTTACACCACTACAGAGTCAAAGGAAAACAATGTAACAGTTTCCACTGATAACTACTGGTAGTTTGAAAACAAAATGTCAACATCCTTACCTCAAATTGGACGAAGTCTGGCCATGATTTGTTCAAACAGCCTTGCAGAGAATGTTTGATACTTGCTACTTTTCAAGCAGTTATTCAATCAAGAAGTAAAGTATAATTTGGTATTAACTCCACAATGATAAAATAAAGGTCCTAATTAATGAGGCTTTAGTCAACATTGCAATACAAAGAATTCTTTCGGTGGGTTATGGAACTTCAAAAACTTCAACATCATGACTACCACAAACCCACAATATCAATGATCAAAGATTGATGGTATTTCATGTCTGGTCAAATAGCCTTTTCATCAAAATTGCCAGAGGTTTTCCAACATTTTATAATTAAGTCATTTTTAGATGCCATTTTCTTCCCCTGTAACATACAACATGTATCAGGTTATTTAAAATCAACCATCAAAAGATGTATTATCGACGATTTGATACCTGTTAAATAATATAGCACCAAATTTTCATATAAAGAGACAATATAAACACAATCATACATCTGTCAATCATTCATCCATTTCTTTCATACTGCACGCCAAGTTTTCATCATGTTAAAAGTCTCCTTTTGGGACATTGGTGGGCCCTGAAAAGGGCCCAAAAAAATGGATGATGTGAAATAAAAAAATAATAAATACACTACATGATGGACAGAAGTGTTATGATATACATTGTGCAGTTCCTTAAGTGCTAATAAGTTCACGTGATTGTATACATTCAATAAATTCTTTCGTCAATCTGAAATAACACAAACATCAACATTTCTCCTTTAAGAGTTCAACATGGCACGGAAAATATTCATGTATGTATCTAACCGACGCCTTTCACATTGTCACTTCTTCATTCCTGCAATGTTGTTCATCACAATAACAATAGACACTAAAAAGTAAATGGCAGTGGGCTGTCAAACTTCTTTTGACACTTGACATGAGCTGCAAAGCTTATAAAACGTGCCTGCTTGAATCACAAACCTTTCAGCACAGCATCATCTACTCAGTCTCTCCCCTTTAAGATGCAAATCTTCTTCAATCACCTTTGCAATGGAAATACTGTCTACAGGGGTAAATGATATTGACACACATGTCAAATCACAAAAACAGTTCCTGGTAGTAGAGATTAACGTGTGAAACTTTTACAAGAAACATGAAACTCCAGCCCATGTAAACTTTTCGTAAAATAGGGTTACTATGACTGAATGACAAAAGCACAAAGTAAACTTCAGAAAAAGGTACTTTTAAAAGAGAATTCACAAACCAATAAGTAAATATATTAGGGATGGAAAAAAAGCAAGAATGTCAACTAGCCGGAATAGTGATAACATATGGCAATTACCCCACCCACCCCAAGAATGTTTGAAATTCTACTAGCCCTCAGATACCTTTAACATTAACAAAACTGGTCCGACCTTGCGGGCTAGTGCTTATTTCCATCCCTGTATATCATTAATATCAATGGGTCATAAGTAGAGTGATAATCCATGTATCTTTTTTTTGTTTTTATATATTTTCATATAAAAAAGTTTGTGGTAAAAACATTAGGAAGATTCATTCTTTAGTTCATATGTCAGAAAGGACACTTGATCCTACATTGGCTTTCCCATGGAGCATTTGGTAAAACAAATTATTTTTTTAAATACACGTACAAATGGCATTATCACATTATACTTATGGTCCATTAGATCAAAATAATCAAGCAACACTATCCTTACTCTGAATAGAATACTCTTGCTTGAACATCGTGCTACAAGTACACTACAGGAAACAAGGCTAAACTACATTTTGATGGAACAGGTGACATTATATTAATCCATCATTAACTATACAGAGGGGGGGGGGGGGGGGGGGGGGGGGGGGGGAGAGGTGCAAGTTTACATCACCCCAACATATATTCAACTTGAAAAAGGTGCATTAACATTTAAAAACATTGCTTCAAAATACTCATCAAGGCCATGGGAAAGTTATCATGATCAGTATGCAAAATCTTGTGAACCCTTCATAATTTGTGTGATTTAATGCTGATTGTTGAACACAAACCATCAAACTTACCAAAAAGAAGATGACAATACCTTGGAAGAGTCCAAATGAATTTTGAAACAAATGAAAGAAAAGCAAATGAACAATTAAAGACAATTTCCCTGTCATTATTCACAATCACAAGAAATCAGGACACAAAGAATATTCCGATTTTGGCATACTTTTAACCTTTAAGCAACAGTGAACCCAATTTTACCCAAACAAAATATTAAAACAAGACCCACATAAAACCCACCCATCTTTCATACATGCACCCTCTTCTTATCAAATATGAAAGCATCACATTTGTAAACAAAATCACAGAAGTTTTGCTCAAACAGCACCTCAGAGCAACAGGTCATAAAAGCACTCATTTAACCTGTGTAGTAGGTATTGCACTATTTTGCTCATAACTTAGATGCTGAATATATCACATGAACTTTAGCATACTAATTTATGTACAATAGATTAAAGAACTGCACAAGTACGTGTATGGTGACCAGAGGGGCTATAGATGAAGAATAAATCTATGATAAAAATGCATGGTATGTTAATAAGTATTTCCTCTGGTCTTACAGACGGCTGAAGAAGATGTACAATGATATGTCCACGCATCTATGACTTTAAAAGTTGATGATGTCAAAAATCCAACAATATGAGTCTATGAAAATGCCATACAATGACAATACTGATTCAAGCCTTTACAAAAATAAACTTGGAATGACTTTGATTGTGGGACCCTTTGGCCTTGAATGACAAAAAAGTCATCCCTTAAAAAAAGTCTATGCTTGGACTGGTACTTTCAGTAACATCTTCAAATGACTTGTCATATCGTCACACCTGGGTACAGCATTTTCATTGTTCATCCAGTGGGATGGAGGTTTCGGCAGTACTTTTGGTGAGGGTGGGTCGCTAAATTTAGCACCAGCATAGGCATTTGCCTGTGCATCAAGGATTTCTTCTAACTTCGTTGATTGCATCTCACTCTCGGACGGGCAACGACTCCTCTTCTTGGCTCTATCTCCATCCTTTCGCCTGTCAGAGCTGGGATTTGAGATCAAACCATTTGAGTAGGGTGTAGAATGTTGTGAAAATTTCTGAGCCCGTTTCTCAGTCATAATGTCCTTGGGCCCTGAAACCCTCTTTGGCACTTGTTTAACGTGTTTCGGTGACATTTTCACCTTTTCGTCTCTCTGGGAAATATACTTCCCATTTGACCTTTTAGGTTTGTCCTTAATGTTCGACTGCGACATACCAAGTGTTGACAGGACCATTTGAAAGATCACGCACACTTCTTTATCGAACACACAAAGTAGCCGATCTTCAGGGATAACCAACAGCAGATCTGTAGGGTGTAGAATCTCCTGACAGCTGTACTTCAACGAATTCTTGAACACAACAAATCGACCTCGGTTTGTTTACTTCAAGATGGCGTCCACTATTTATCTTTCAGCGACCTGTAATTTTCTTCTGCTCGTAGATTCAGTAAACTGCTTGCAACCTCCAATATAAGTACAAAAGTGTCTCCTTAAATTCAAGAAATGATTTCTTCAATTTCCAAACTTTCAAAGCCAAATAAATCAACCAAAACTCTGGGCAACTGCCCTCCTTTCTCCTCTTCCTTCCCTTCTTTCCACCGTCTCGCTCGCTTCTCGTCAAACCAGCTTGCCAATCAGGTGCGTTACACGGCACCACGTGACCACAACAACCAATCGTCTTGTGTTTATTTTAATCGCCTCTCGTCATCTGGCTATTTTCGTATTACTCAGTCAACAAAACAAACTTGTGTTTTAATTACAGTTTTTAAAAATATGTATTTATGAGACTATGATTTTCCAATAGTAATCGTAAATTGTTAAGTTTAATACAAAATGTCAATTTTATTTATCTGTCAGAAGGAGGTATTTCCTACGGATCTGACGTCACTACCGTAGGCGGGGAATCCTTTATTTGATTATCATCCGAGAGAAGTGCCTGATAAGTGTTCGATCTGAAGTGAATGTTACTGGTACTAATACATCGAAACCGAGATATTTAACTGCACATAGAGGTGAGGAAATGCTGTGTGATTGTGTATATTTTTATTTATTTATTGGGAAAATCGTAGAAATCATTTTGTGTGATAAGGAAAGATCGGCCCATAAAGCAACTTGATGGCCATTGAAAGGACTGACATGTTTGCACGGAGTTCACGAGCTAAGCAATTTTTCTGGTGCTAGGCGTTCATCCTTATTATCCTAATTTTCTAATCAAAGACGAGCTAGGCTATATACGACTAAAAATGTAAGCGCTTTGAAGCAGCGTGGAGGGGTTTTCTAAAACGCAGATACGTTATAAGAAAGGTCAACATTGATCTTGCCTCGTCCAGCCCACTTTCTATGTCGGTAGCAGAACCTGGCGATATTAATTCGGTCAAACCCAAACACACTGCTCCACGTACTGTACAGTTGAGTCTATGTATAACTGGATCATTATATATCACAGTACTGACCACGCTTTAGAGGATGTTAGCCTCTTGCCCACCGTATTACAAACGTACCACATGCAAAAAGACATGCCCGATTTAAAGAGACACTATTATCATGTAAACGAATCTGTTGTCGGCCAGTATGGGTCCAAATCTTTATTACGATTAATTGAAATAATCCTAAACTTGAGTTTACAATTAGAATCATAATCAAATGAATCCATCTGTAATGAAAACAAATGTCAAGATCAGGATATTGATTATTACTTCTGGTTGAAATGAAATATGAAGATTGGTTTATGCTAGGCCTATTTCATAGGCTTGTCAACAAAAATTACCGTCTAGGTGAAGGTCATACAAAAAAACACATATTTGGGGACGGTCATGAAAAATGGACATTTTATAGTAATATGAAGTGCTTTTAATTTTTTTTCAGGGAGGATCATGAAAAAAATGTACAAGAACATGGGGAGGGTCATCCAAAAATATGACAAGCATTAGATGAGGGTCACTATTTTCAGAACGTTAGTGCTTGAAAAAACCCCGACCCACCCCACCTGTAAATAACCAGTCCTTTACTAGCATAGATTTTACTTGTCTATATCAGTATACCAACTTTGACATGGCTCACTGAAAGACACAGAAGCCTTTACTTTAGAATTGAGTTCAGTAGTAGATGCCTTTAAGACTTTAGTAATTACACAGTGGCAGATCACATGGCAGATACTTAAGCCTAGCAGAGGACCATGTTTGCTTTATTAATTAATCTGTTATGCTAACAATTTAGATAACAATGTTGTATACTGTGTCTGGAGACTTGTCTGATTGTTGTTGTCTTTACATAAATTACTTGTTATTGTGTTGCCAATGGGCTGAATAGTATTTTGTACCATTAATTGAGACTTATATCAACAAAGGCCTGTCATTAAAAGAAATGGTTAACAGCCACTGTCCTGTAAACAGTCAAGTAGATATTCTTTGTCACCAATCAGTTCCCTGTTATTACACCAAGCCCCAACACTACACCTTCATTGTACCTCACTGGCTTCTCTCACATGCTTTAAACAATATTTTATTTTCTGCAAAATGGATTGGTCAACATGCGCAATGCCTATTTAAAGACCTCTCTGATACAAGAACATTTATATAATATATCACAACACACAGTGGATAATGCAAGGTTCAACATAAAATATATATAAATGTACCAAAAATGTCTAACATACATTAAAGGCTTTTGAAACATTTTCTTAGGGTAAAATATGCATGAACAGATTCTATTAGTCTAATATTTGTTTCAGATGACAGAGTTATATTGCCAAACAACATGTTTTTCATATCATAACCTTTTATATAAAAGGAACAGTTTGATGTTATATCCGTATATTTTTTACATCGAAATAAATAATGAAGATTATCTTCATAATAATGATCACAAAAACACTAAGGATCAGTAACATTGTCAGTAACATTGTACGCTAGTTCTACTGTGTGTAAGTAAACTTATAATTTTGTATGTATATTAACTCTATGTGCTCTCAGTATTCACCTGATGAAGGACAAGGAATAACTCTGAAACGTCGTAACAAAGAATGAAAGAAGTTCTTATAATTAAAAAAGTGTAAAATATTCAAAAATTCATGTTCTTCCAAGTTATAAAAACCTTTCAAAGACTTCAGTCGAATAGATAATTCTAATTGTCATATTTTTAGAACTACAAATCATCCCCAAGCGGGGGCAGGGGTGGCCCAGTCGTCTAAGGCGCCGCGAGTCGCTGTGCAGAGTTGCGTCCCTTAGGCACGCCAGAAACCTATGATTGTGGGTTTGAATCCCGGTTCGCCCCGATTATGTTTCTAGGTTTGTCAGCACCATACCCGTGCTCGTGGGTTTCACCGAAGTGTTAAACGTCTAGGACCTGCACCACTTTGGGCTTTCCTCCCACATTAAGCTGACACGCCGTGATGTAACTGGAATACTGTTAAAAGCAGCGTTAAACCCAACTCACTCCCTCACTCACTCATCCCCAAGCCCCACCTTTAGTAACTTAGGTCAGTCCCTGTATAGCCACCTAATTCATTCTTTAGTCAGTGCACCAGTTCTTAGAAATATACAGAATCTAAGCACATTAAGACTGGTACAAAAGGTACTTGTTGACTGATACATCATGGTACATCATGCATGATCAGAATGTTATACCAGATGATGTTGGTCTGGTTTCTTCCTCCAGTGAAGGGATTTACCGTATTCGACGTAATACGCGCCCAGGGCGCTCTCAAAATTAGAAATGGGAGGCTCTTATTAAAATATTATTTTGTCGAAAAAAACAGAGTTGAAAGATAAATTTCGTGGTTTATGCTGACAGCCTGAAACGTTTATATACGAGAGATATATTTTTCCAGAATTTAATTGCCCATAATTAAGGGTGCATATAACACACAAGCGCGAATAAATAATTATTGTGTACATTGATCAATCGAAAAGGGTGCTAATTGGGATTGTTCACGAGCCAATATATTAGCAAATATCGCTGTGGGCGCTTATTACGTCGAATACGGTAATATTCTGCGACTTTATCCACTAGTCTGAAGTCCATGTCTAATAAAATGTTGGTGTGGTCCAGTAAGATCAACTTGTAATAGTCCATGTACTTAGAATAACATCTTGTGAAAAATAATGCCCAAATTCATTTTTGGAACACACTGATTTAATCTGTAGATTTGAATAAAGTTTTAAAATCCAATCCATCATTTTCAAAAGTAACAACGGATGCAAATTCCGGACTGTATTTCCTTGAAATGTTTACAGGGTTTAGAGTCTATGCAATCTATATGTAGGTCAAAGTTCATGGTTTGTGCCATATCTTTAGTGTATAGTATTTAAATAGTATCCAGGAGCTTATGCTGAGGTTTATGTGGGTAAAGATACTTATGTGAATCTTTCACGAAGGTCAGCTGCCAGGCAGGTAGTACCGCATTGTCAAAGGCAAACTGAAATATGTTAAACACTTAAAGTTTGTCAGTACAGTCAGAGATGACGATACAGTGTATCACAGTATGATATCATGGTATTCTTCTGGACCCAAACGTCAGCAGCCAGTCCACCATCCCATCATTTCAACATTAGGGAGGAGGACCTGCTCAGGTCAGTTTCTAAAATAAACTGGGAATGATCTGACTTGCTGGTCTTTGACCTTAGTCTCCAAGCTATATAATATTTCACTATGTATCTGATGCCAGCACAGTATTTAGTTTAATTCTAGATGGGAATTCTTTTCATCTTAAATATACAAGAACCTGATTGAATTACAAATCCGAAATTAAAAAGACTGATGCCCAATATATTTATAATGCAGTACATGTTATCAGCCATCCTTTGTAATCATGCTGATATGAGAATCCTAATTTGAGTCTGTATGAATAAACATCTCATGATTATTTATGGCTGATGAAGCTAGTATATTTGATAAGGTTGTAGTGGATGTTATACAATTAACAATGTCTTTTGTTCAAATGGTACATAAAAATAGCCTTTTCCTTTTCCACAAATTGCGGTCATTTCAAACTTTGACTTTACTAAATCATTATTAAGTTGATCTGTGAGTTCTGTCAAAGATTTAATCCATCAATTTAAATGCTACAATCAGAATAAAATAGTTTAGATTCCTCTTCATTTATCCTGCAACTCTTTTTATTAGAGAAATTTACCTAAGATTAATTGTTGACTTTTCCAATAATGATTATAGCGATTAATCATATATGTACTTTTTATGTTATTGTTGGCTGCTGC